ATAACTCATTCGAATCTTTGTAGATAAATAAAAGGGCAGATCAACCAGGCTGTGATGGATAGGTGGGTAAATTTGGGCCCCACCAGCTGCAACAGCCTGGTTGACCAGGCAAGCCCAGACAAGCTTGGCCCAAGGCTGGGCCAAGCTTGTCTGGTGCTTGCCTGTGCAACAGATTGCAAAATTTTTGAACTTGTGGAACCATCCTGTACTAAACAACATATTCGGGCTTCCCTTGTTACACTGTTCATAGCATTAAGTGGTGCACTTTTTTTGGTTTTCTTTCTCTATCCAAAATCACTTTTCCATCTTATTTAGTTGTTGTGACCTGTGTCGTCGTTTTCAAGAGGTCGTAACCGGGTGTACTTATATGCACAAGCTTTCTCTTTGCTTCATTCTTTCTAATTGTAGAACTAATGCTTCATTACACCATAGACCTGTGCTGTCTCCATCACATTTGCACCACTTTAAGCTTATCTAATATCCATTTTTCTTCAAAACACCAAGACCATTCACATTGCTTTTTGATGCCATAGTTACAATCCAGAGATGAGGTGAGATGATGAAAAGATCAAAAATCAATTCTGCAACACAGGCTGAGTGTGGTATTGGGAAACCTACCTTTGGAGACTAATTAGACCCTTCCCCTTAAGACTTTGGCCTTGCCTGTAGACCACTATTAGAAGGAGGGGACAGTCCACAGTGTACCATATTTTTTTGTGTATTGTACATACAGTAAATCCTCCACACAGTGGCCTAGAAAATACAGAACAAAATCTGCTGGTTAATAAAATTCAGAAACAGTGGTCAAAGGCTGTTGGTAATAAAATTGTCATCATTAGAGCAAAACAATCTCCTCTATCCATCAAGATTGCCAGTACTGCCCCCCCTTTCGTCACTCAGCCCAGTATATTAACCCTTTGACTGTTTCGACGTATAATACGTCTTACGAGCCAATGTTCTGACGTATAAATAGTCTTACGAGCCAATGTTTCTGACGTATATATACTCAATAATTCTAGGGCTTCAAATCAAGCGGGAGAAAGCTGGTAGGCCCACATGTGAGAGAATGGGTCTGTGTGGTCAGTGTGCACCCATAAAAAAATCACAGCACACATTGCGTAATGAGAAAAAAAAAAAAATTTCTGATTTTTTTTTTGGGAATAAAAGCCGACTTTGAGGTTTTTTTTCGATGTTTTTATCTTTTGTATTCGCGTTTTTAATGGTTTTTGGGGTTTGTTTAAAAGGGGAAAAACATATTACAGAAATAGAGATTTTTTTTCCCTTACTTTGAGTGAAAACGACCTTGAAACGAGCTCAAAGTAGGGGAAAAATTTTCAAATTTTTTCCCAAATGTTCAGGAGTAAAAAAATCACACCCACGTCCAATACACTCGACTGGGGGATCTAATTTCTTTCACAAGTGCATGAATATTTTTTATACCTTTTTTACAATAATGCTTTATTTCGAAATAACATTTAAAATTTTTTTTATTTTTTTGTTTTGAAAAAAAAAACAAAATAAAAAGTAAAAAATTTAATAAAAGGGGGGGGCCCTAGAGTTGGGGCTAATGAAAAAGGCATGTCCCCTTTGTTTTTTCGGACCCCTTTTTTGGGAAAAATTGGGGCATTTTTTTTATTTTGGGTGAAATTGGCCAAAATTCCCAAATTTTCTGACCACCATTTTGGGGTAGCCCAAAATTTTTTTTAAAGGGGGATTTTTCTTGACTCAGCTGATAGAAAAATGGAGGGTCTAAAGAAATAGCTATGAGTTTTTTCAACGGAAACAAGGGGAATTTGGCTAAAAAATTAGGGCAAAGTCGGCGAAATCGCCGAACGCATATGTCGCCGAGACCGCAAATTTCCCGTGGGAGCATAATTTCCATGAGTTTTCTCCCAAAAATTTCGAACTTTTTTTGTCTTTTACCATGGGGGAAAAGATTCTCTAAAATTTCATAAAAAAAAAATTATTTTTTTTTTAAAAAATTGATCGAAAGAATGACAGTTTTTAGAAAGGGGCCCCGAAAAGCCCAAAAGGGGTTTAAAGATTACTATATATTTTTTTTAAATGCTATGGGGCACTAAGTGACCTAGAGAAATCAAAAAGGGTCTGAAAACATCATACTACTATACTACTTACTTTCTGTTATGCTCTGTTATGTAAACCACAGCAAGACATAGTGGATTTAAAAAAATTATTTATTTATTTATTTATTTATTTATTTGAACATGATACAGAGAAGTACAAGGAATACATTTTTTAAAGTGCAGCATGCCAAAGCCCTTTGTATGCAGAGCATTATGGGCAGGCTTAAAATTAACTTAAGATTAACTAAGCACTGATATATTCAGTGGTACAAAATTTATTGTAAAACAGATAACAATTTAGTACAAATGAGTATTACAAAGACAGGTCATATGGTCATTTACTGTGTTGCTGTGTAATCAGTAGAATGGAGTATTCTGTTAGGTAATGAAGTTAAATAGTAACAAAGTTTGATTTGGTAAAAGATTTATTATTATTTTTTATTATCACACTGGCCGATTCCCACCAAGGCAGGGTGGCCCGAAAAAGAAAAAGTTTCACCATCATTCACTCCATCACTGTCTTGCCAGAAGAGTGCTTTACACTACAGTTTTTAAACTGCAACATTAACACCCCTCCTTCAGAGTGCAGGCACTGTTCTTCCCATCTCCAGGACTCAAGTCCGGCCTGCCGGTTTCCCTGAACCCCTTCATAAATGTTACTTTGCTCACACTCCAACAGCACGTCAAGTATTAAAAACCATTTGTCTCCATTCACTCCTATCAAACACGCTCACGCATGCCTGCTGGAAGTCCAAGCCCCTCGCACACAAAACCTCCTTTACCCCCCTCTCTCCAACCTTTCCTAGGCCGACCCCTACCCCGCCTTCCTTCCACTACAGACTGATACACTCTTGAAGTCATTCTGTTTCACTCCATTCTCTCTACATGTCCAAACCACCTCAACAACCTTCCTCAGCCCTCTGGACAACAGTTTTGGTAATCCCGCACCTCCTCCTAACTTCCAAACTACGAATTCTCTACATTATATTCACACCACACATTGCCCTCAGACATGACATCTCCACTGCCTCCAGCCTTCTCCTCGCTGCAACATTCATCACCCATGCTTCACACCCATATAAGAGCGTTGGTAAAACTATACTCTCATACATTCCCCTCTTTGCCTCCAAGGACAAAGTTCTTTGTCTCCACAGACTCCTAAGTGCACCACTCACTCTTTTCCCCTCATCAATTCTATGATTCACCTCATCTTTCATAGACCCATCCGCTGACACGTCCACTCCCAAATATCTGAATACATTTACCTCCTCCATACTCCCTCCCTCCAATCTGATATTCAATCTTTCATCACCTAATCTTTTCGTTATCCTCATAACCTTACTCTTTCCTGTATTCACCTTTAATTTTCTTCTTTTGCACACCCTACCAAATTCATCCACCAATCTCTGCAACTTCTCTTCAGAATCTCCCAAGAGCACAGTGTCATCAGCAAAGAGCAGCTGTGACAACTCCCACTTTGTGTGATTCTTTATCTTTTAACTCCACGCCTCTTGCCAAACCCTCGCATTTACTTCTCTTACAACCCCATCTATAAATATATTAAACAACCACGGTGACATCACACATCCTTGTCTAAGGCCTACTTTTACTGGGAAATAATTTCCCTCTTTCCTACATACTCTAACTTGAGCCTCACTATCCTCGTAAAAACTCTTCACTGCTTTCAGTAACCTACCTCCTACACCATACACTTGCAACATCTGCCACATTGCCCCCCTATCCACCTGTCATACGCCTTTTCCAAATCCATAAATGCCACAAAGACCTCTTTAGCCTTATCTAAATACTGTTCACTTATATGTTTCACTGTAAACACCTGGTCCACACACCCCCTACCTTTCCTAAAGCCTCCTTGTTCATCTGCTATCCCTATTCTCCGTCTTACTCTTAATTCTTTCAATAATAACTCTACCATACACTTTACCAGGTACACTCAGCAGACTTATCCCCCTATAATTTTTGCACTCTCTTTTATCCCCTTTGCCTTTATACAAAGGATCTATGCATGCTCTCTGCCAATCCCTAGGTACCTTACCCTCTTCCATACATTTATTAAAATAATTGCACCAACCACTCCAAAACTATATCCCCACCTGCTTTTAACATTTCTATCTTTATCCCATCAATCCCGGCTGCCTTACCCCCTTTCATTTTACCTACTGCTCACGAACTTCCCCCCACACTCACAACTGGCTCTTCCTCACTCCTACAAGATGTTATTCCTCCTTGTTTTATACACGAAATCACAGCTTCCCTATCTTCATCAACATTTAACAATTCCTCAAAATATTCCCTCCATCTTCCCAATACCTCTAACTCTCCATTTAATAACTCTCCTCTCCTATTTTTAACTGACAAATCCATTTGTTCTCTAGGCTTTCTTAACTTGTTAATCTCACTCCAAAACTTTTTCTTATTTTCAACAAATTTGTTGATAACATCTCACCCACTCTCTCATTTGCTCTCTTTTTACATTGCTTCACCACTCTCTTAACCTCTCTTTTTCTCCATATACTCTTCCCTCCTTGCATCACTTCTACTTTGTAAAAACTTCATCATATGCTAACTTTTTCTCCCTTACTACTCTCTTTACATCATCATTCCACCAATCGCTCCTCTTCCCTCCTGCACCCACTTTCCTGTAACCACAAACTTCTGCTGAACACTCTAACACTACATTTTTAAACCTACCCCATACCTCTTCGACCCCATTGCCTATGCTCTCATTAGCCCATCTATCCTCCAATAGCTGTTTATATCTTACCCTAACTGCCTCCTCTTTTAGTTTATAAACCTTCACCTCTCTCTTCCCTGATGCTTCTATTCTCCTTGTATCCCATCTACCTTTTACTCTCAGTGTAGCTACAACTAGAAAGTGATCTGATATATCTGTGGCCCCTCTATAAACATGTACATCCTGAAGTCTACTCAACAGTCTTTTATCTACCAATACATAATCCAACAAACTACTGTCATTTCGCCCTACATCATATCTTGTATACTTATTTATCCTCTTTTTCTTAAAATATGTATTACCTATAACTAAACCCCTTTCTATACGAAGTTCAATCAAAGGGCTCCCATTATCATTTACACCTGGCACCCCAAACTTACCTACCACACCCTCTCTAAAAGTTTCTCCTACTTTAGCATTCATGTCCCCTACCACAATTACTCTCTCACTTGGTTTAAAGGGTAAAAGATACATGATGTAATTTAATATGGATAAGGACTTGGTAATACTGTATTGTATAATAAAAACTAACATTTTTTCCTATTGGTTGTATGCTTTATAATGATTTCTTCTCATATTGGTGCATTATACTGTAGTTTCATACATCTTTCTTTATATTGACAGATAATACAAGATGAGTGTCAACATTAACTGGGACATTGAATCCTACCGTGCTCCATATGAGAGTGATGAGCACTGGGCCTTGAAGCAGGAATTTATGGAAGCGCATAAATCAAGAATACCAGAAGATCGTCTGGTGTGCTTAGCTCAAGTGTTTGTCAATATTGAACTGTTGGGTTGTAGGTGAGTAGATACTCAGTAGTACCACAAGTGCATAGACATGATAGTTCAAGTGACCTGAACTGTAACATTCCCATCCCTCCTTCAGAGTGCAGATACTGTACTTCTCACTGCCAGGACACTGGTCTGGCTGACTGGTTTTCCTGAATACCTTCACAGATGTTGGCATCCTCACACACCAACAGCACATCCAGCCATGGAAACCACTTGTCTTCCCTTACTCTAGTCTAGCTCACTGACACAAGCCTGCTGAATGTTCAGTCAAGCACTCAGACCTTCCTTTACCCCTCCCTCCAATCTGATATCTGATCTGTCATTCCCTTTATTTTTTTTTTATTTTTCCAATGTTCACTTTTAATTACCTTCTTTTACATACTTTCCCAAATTCATCCACTAATCCTTGTAACTTCCCTTCAGACTCACAAAAGAATTAACAACAGAGCAACTGTGACAACTCCCACTTTGTATCACATCCATTATTTTTTGTGTGTGTGTTTTTGTTGAAAACACTGGCCATCTCCCACTGAGGTAGGGTAACTCCCCCCTCCCTAAAAAAAAAAAAAAACTTTCACCATTGCTCATTCCATCACAGTCTTGCCAGAGGCATGCCAACACTACAGCTTAGATGCCCCTCCTTACTGCAGTATCCTAACTCCTCCAGAGTGCAGGCTAACCAGTTTTCCAGAATCCCTTCCTAAATGTTGCCTTGCTCACACTCCAGCAGCACATCAAGTAATAAAACCCACTTGTCTCCACTCACTCCTGTCTAATATGCTCACACACGCTTTTTGGATGTCCCAGTCCCTCGCGTGCAGAACCACCTCTACCCCCTCCCTCCATCCTTACCTCGGATGGCCCTACTCCTTCCCTCCACAACAGATTTAAACACTCTCCGAGTCATCCTATTTTGCTTCATTTTCTCTGAATGTCTAAACCACCTCAATAACCCCTCCTCAGCCCTCTGGATAATAGTACTCTTAGTAACACCACACGTGCTTCTCAACTTGTCATTGTGTGCTTGCCAATCGCCACTCCTTTCCCCACCATTCATATCTTAAAAAATATAGCCTGGAACACCTGGTTTGCTGTCTAGGTGTATTCTCAAGAATTTGCCCTCATCCCTACAAATGGTGTATCGTTTATCTTAGTTCCAATGCATGTGTTTTGCCCTGCTCCCAAACTTTATATAGGTCTTGTCAGTATTGAGTGAAAGTTTGTTGGTTGTGCTGGATCAGGATTTGAAATGACAGGTTGTCATTCACAAACAGAATTGGTTTAAGTTGCTGTGAAACATTGGGAAGGTCATTGATGTAGATAAGGGATAACAGAGGGCCCAGAACACTACCCTGTGGAACCTTTTGTTAATCGATTAGGCTGCTGAAGAACAGTCATTAATAGTCACATGCCAGTGTCTGTCACTCGGGTAAATTTTCATATATGAGAGAGCATGCCCTCTTATTCCATAACATTCTAATTTTAGTAGTAGAATGTTGTGGGTGGTCTGTTGTATCAATTTTTTTTTTTTTTTATTGATTGATAAAAGAGTCCCATTGGATACTCTTTATTTTCAAGAGGAGTAGAATGAGATGAGCATTTTTATTATTGCATCATTGGTACTTCATCCCAGCCTGAAGCCAAACTGACATGAGTTAAAGATATTGTTTGGTTATGAAGTCTTTAAAATTGTTTATTTATTATTTTTTCAAATATTTAGACAGTAAAAGCAAGTTTGAAATTGATCTGTAGTTACTGCATTCTGTTGGGTTGCAACTTTTGATGTAACTCTTTCTAGTGTAAGTGTGCTAGGGGAAAGTTTTGGCTTCAGTTGATTTATTGAACAGTGCTGTAATAATTGGAGATAATATATGAGAAGCTTTCTTGTATATTTGTTTCAGGCTGTATTTTTCAGTGACATAATTGTGGAGGTAACCTCAGTTGATGTAGTTGGGAATAGGTACTGCAAACTAGGATGATTATCAGTTAGTACGGGTTTTGCTAGCAAGATTTGTTCCAGTAATCAAAAAAAAAAACAGTAATTTAATTTATTTGCTGTCTCAGAGGCTTAGAGGGAAGGTTCATTAGGTTTAGTTAATAATAATAATAATAATATTTTATTTTGACATGATACATATTTATGCAAAGGAATATATGGTTAGGTGTACATGCCAAAAGCCCCTTTATATGCAGAGCATTTCAGACAAACTTAAAACTAACTTAAGATTAATAAGGCAATAACAGTACATATGGTCATTAGATGAGTTACATTGAAGACTCAAGAAATCGTAATGACACGATTGCAAACAAACCATACCCCCGGCTGGGATTGAACCCGCGGTCATACAGTCTCAAAACTCAGCCCGTTGCATTAGCCACTAGACCAGCTAGCCACAATAAGATTCATCTAACTAGGTATATTTCTACACCATAGGAAGGTTAGCACAGGCACCACTGTGACCACAAATGCAAGTTTTTACAGACGAATCTCCAGCTAGCGTGGCCATGACGAACTCTAGCTCAAGTCCCTTCACTGCCGTCAACATGACTCGAGAAATCGTAATGACACGATTGCAAACAAACCCTACCCCCGGCCGGGATTGAACCCGCGGTCATAGTCTCAAAACTCCAGCTCGTCGCGTTAGCCACTAGACCAGCTAGCCACAATAAGATTCATCCAACTAGGTATATTTCTACACCATAGGAAGGTTAGCACAGGCACCACTGTGACCACAAATGCAAGTTTTTACAGACGAATCTCCAGCTAGCGTGGCCGTGACGAACTCTAGCTCAAGTCCCTTCACTGTCGTCAACATGCCGTCACAGTGGTGCCTGTGCTAACCTTCCTATGGTGTAGAAATATACCTAGTTGGATGAATCTTATTGTGGCTAGCTGGTCTAGTGGCTAACGCAACGGGCTGGAGTTTTGAGACTCTATGACCGCGGGTTCAATCCCAGCCGGGGGTATGGTTTAGTTACATTGAATACAGGAGAATTGAGTATTCTATTAGGTCATGCTATATGGCTTTAATAAGTCTTGTAGACAAGACGTTAAATTTTGATTACAGTATTAACCTTAGGCAGACACAATGGCGTGATTAACACTCGAGATGAATACAAATATTGAGAGTAAGTACATTTTTTTTTTTTTTTTTTTTTTTTTTTTTCAACAAGTCGGTCGTCTCCCACCGAGGCAGGGTGACCCAAAAAAAAGAAAGAAAATCCCCAAAAAGAAAATACTTTCATCATCATTCAACACTTTCACCACACTCACACATTATCACTGCTTTTGCAGAGGTGCTCAGAATACAACAGTTTAGAAGCATATACGTATAGAGATACACAACATATCCCTCCAAACTGCCAATATCCCAAACCCCTCCTTTAAAGTGCAGGCATTGTACTTCCCATTTCCAGGACTCAAGTCCGACTGTAAGTCCGACTGAGTAAGTACATATTGATTAGAAAGTTTTACCTCTCTTCATGATATTGAGCAAATGCATGTATAGTTATTACATATGTATGTATGATGGGCTGGGATAGGTTAAGGAGATTAGGTGTTTTTTAACTATAGTTTCTAAAAAGCTAGCCGAGTCAGAGATTTCTGGCAGAGAGTTCCAGATTTTTGGCCCCTTTATGTACAACGAGTTTTTGAAAAGATTTAAACTGACATGGGGAATGTCATAGAGGTTTTTGTTCCTAGTGTTGTGTCTGAGTCCCATTGCAACTGGTTAGAGCTATTTCTTTAGATTCGGTGAACTTCCTAGTGCTCAATATCTGAGAAAGTGTTTTCCAGGTTTTATCATTCTTAACAATGAAAACACAAAAATATTAGTGCATACGATGAAAAATATAGAGGGGAGGGAATAGTTATAATTCATCTGTAACAAAATTCTAATTATTAAATCTATAGTTGTTGACCAATATCTTCAAATTAATGTAAGGGCATCTAGCATGAACAAAATAAACATGCACAGTATACGTATCTGTGTATTTGATGAAAAAATGACAAAAATATATTCTGGGTCATTAATTTTTGTTTGCTTATTTACAATGTTCACATCAACACATCTGTATTCTTAAGAATTTCATTGTAAAATGCCTTGATTGTGAGTGTAGATGTCCATAAGTTTGTAAGCTGGGTACATGTATACATGTATTGTAAGATACGTCTACAGTATTCATACTGCAGTACAAGACTGGGTTTAAATCTTCTGAGTGTTGACATGTGATTTCATCATACAGTCATTGCTGTTTTTATTCAGTATGGTACTTCTTTTATTTCCAGGTATCCAGACAAGACAATGGAGCAAGTTAGTATATTGGCTCGAGATGTAGGCCAGGAATACAAGGAAAGCAAGAAGAAGAAATTACAGCGCACGTTTGTTAAAGCATCAGATGCTGCTGGGGCTAGATACAAAGGCAGTAAGGCTCGCTCATAAATATACTCTTCTTTAGTTTATTTTGTGTACAATAAGGAAAGTAATTGGTTAGGCAAACAAAAAGTGAATTTGCTCATTTGACATTGCAGACTAATGTTTTATCACCCAGCAATTTAGTGCTTCTTTTTAACAGAGTACGATAATAGTTGAATGAATGATGGTGAATGTATTTTTCTTTTTCTGGTAGCCCTACCTTGGTGGGAGACGGCCAATCTGTTAAAAAACAAAAAACGTAAAATAACGTCAGGCTGTTTACTGTTACTCACGCCAGTAGGAAAGTGTATACAGTTGTTTATTAAGCTAAATTTCTCTAGCTTTCCCAACCTAGTTTTTAAACTATTTTTTTTTATTTTGTGATTAGCCAAAGTTAATTGATTCCTGTCACTAGTTGGATTGCAGGTACTATAATATTTAATTTTTTTAGTTCATTTGTCATTAGTACTTATTGTGTAGTTTTTGGTAACTCTTAAGACCAAAAAATCTTAAATTGTTTTGCAGGGTTTTGCATTGAGTACTAACATGCACATGAGATAGATATTTAACTATGATGACAGCTACAATAAGGTATCATTGTAATGTTTCTGAAGCTCAGTACTTTTCAAACAAAAAATGTGTAAATGTTAGGTAGCCCAACAAATGAAGCATTTTCATATGGTCATTATCATGTTCCGTAAGCTCTTGATTAATGTATCTCCTCCTGACACTGATTCTTCTGTTTAAGCTATCTGCCCTTAATCTAGTCATTACAGATGCTATCTTGTCAATTCAGCCCATACAGTATACACAGTGTTTCTGACATGAATGTTAGTTCCAGCTTTCTCTTGATACCTACCTTTAGTTAGTTCGTTAATAACTGTAAGCAGAACCATAGATTAATAGTAAGCAGAACCATAAGTTAGTGAATAACAGTAAGCAGAACTATACGTTAGTTAGTAACAGTAAGCAGAACCATTAGTTAACAATAAGCAGAACCATAAGTTAGTTAACAGTAAGCATAGTCACAAGTTAGTTAATAACAGCAAGTAGAGACGATGAGTAAGAGACATGGCAATCATAACACTGGAGATGGTAGAAGTTGAGAAGTAATTTTGAGTTGATCAGTTCCAGACCCTTGATAGAAGGTGCTCTGTCCTCTTAAGTCATTGGAACTGATCACCTCAAAATTACCTCTCCACTTGTACTACCTCTAGTGTTATAATTCAAAATACAAAAATTAATTTTTTTGCATAGTATACAATGTGTAGTCTACACGTAGTAAAATAGTGTTGAGCACAAAGAAAGCCACTAACATGCTTGAGCATTTTGGGCAGACTAATCCTAATTCTTACACACTACTTAAAAATTGACTCAGGTTATGGAGTGGTGAATTTTAATTATACATTAATACAAAAAGAGGGGTAGCAAAAATTTTATAATTAGTAAAATTTGTAGTAGAGGGGGTTTAAAAAAAAATGCTTATCTTCTTTCTTTCAACGTACCAGCCGTATCCCACCGAGGTAGGGTGACCCAAAAGGAAAAACGAAAATTTCTCCTTTTAAATTTAGTAATACATATATACAGGAGAAGGGGTTACTAGCCCCTTGCTCCCAGCATTTTAGTCACCTCTTACGACACGCATAGCTTGCGGAGGAAGAATTCTGTTCCACTTCCCCATGGATAAAAAAATGCTTATATTCCACTGAAAAAGCTTGTGAGGTCAAGTGTTTTGACAACAAAGATACCCAAGTGATGCACATGACTTATCAACTTATCAGTATTGTGTACTATACCATTTATAATATGAAATAGTAAATATAGCTATAAACTAGTTAATAACAGCAAGCAGAACCAAAGATTATTTCAGATTAGGTCTGGGATCACAATTATGAAGTTTAATAAATTGCTTTTTTTTTTTTTTTTTTTTTTTTTTATAATATGTAATTTGTGAATAAACATTTATTAGGTGTGGTAGCAATTTAAATTTATTCAAGATAATTTTTGTATAAATTATTTCTGCAAAAGTTACTGTTCAGTTACATTAAACATAAATACCAAATTATGACATAATTGGGAGCTAGAACATTCATATCTAGTAGTATATATTCATTCTTTCTCGGTCATTTTTTTTTAGCTGTATAGTGTATTGTATTAACATTATTGTGAACTGTGCTAGTTTCATGACAAAACTGTCACTTTGATTGGGGTTATTTTCTTTTCGTTAACACATTGGCCATTTCCCACCAAGGCAGGTTGACCTGAAAAATAAGAAACACTTTCATCATTACTTGCTCCATCACTGTCTTGCCAGAGGCATGTTGACACTGCAGTTCAAAAACTGCATCATATTAACATCCCTCCTTCAGAGCACAGGACTAGATAGCCTAGTTAACCGGTTTCCCTGAATCTTTTCATAAATGTTACTTTGCTCGCTCTCCAACTGCAAGTCAGGTCATAAAAACCATTTGCCTCCACTTTCTCCTATCTAACACGCTCACACACACACTGGAATTCTAAGCCCCTTGCACACTAAACCTCCTTTACCCTTTCCCTCCAACCTTTCCTAGGATGACTTCTACTCCACCTTCCTACCGCTGCAGATTTATACACCCTTCAAGTCATTCTATTTTGTTCCTTTCTCTCTAAATGTTCAAACCCCCTCAACAACAGCTCCACAGCCCTCTGGATAATACTCTTAGAAACCCCATACCACCACCTAATCTCCAAGCTATGGATTCTTTGCATAATACAGCCTCTCCTCACTTAACGACAGAGTTCCATTCCTAAGACCATGTTGGTAAACGAATTCATCGCTAAGTGAGGAGCATGCTATAATTTTAGTGGGTTTGTGTCAACCATCTTTGTTATTGTTTTAATGTCATATTTGAACCATTTATAACATTTCTGGTATATTTCAAATGTTTATTCAGTTTTGTACTGTATATTGTAATAAAGAAAATAGAGGAGGTCAGCTCTAATATACATTATTTAGGTATGCATACTGGTCAGGGAGTCTGTTGTAAGTCCGAGTTGTTGGCAATAGAGTTTGTCAATAAATGAGGAGAAGCTGTATTCACACCACACACATTGCCCTCAGATGCGACATCTCCACTGCTTCCAGCCTTCTTGTTGCAATATTCACCACTCATGTTTCACACCCATATAAGAGTGTTTGTACAACTATACTTTCATACATTTCCCTCTTTGCTTCCATGGGTAACGTTCTGTCTCCACAAACTCCTCGGTGCACCACTCGCCTTTTTCCCTCTCGACAATTCTGTACTTCACCTTATTCTTTCGTAGACCCATCTGTTGAGAGATCCACTCCCAAATATCTGAGCACATTCACTTCTTCCATAACTCATTCCCTCCCTCCAACCTAAATTTTTTGTTATCCTCATCACCTAGCTTTTTCCTATATTCACTTTTAATTTCCTTCTTTTACACACCCTCCAAATTTGTCCACCAACCTCTGCAACTTCTCTTCAGAATCTCCCAAAAGCAGTGTCATCAGCAAAAAGGAAGTGTGAAATGTGACAACTCCCACTTTGCGTTAGATTCTTTATCTTTGAATCCTGCGCCTATAACCTCACTATAACCTAGTAGCACTGATAAACCTGGGAAAATTTAACTGAAGTTTGTCTTGTTAGTTGAGGAAACTGAACAAAGCCATGAATCCCTTATTTAAGGATTAGTAACAAGAACATAGTGAATGAATGTATGGGTAAGGTGTTTTTTACAGATCAAGTGTCGAAGATATGATCCAGTAAAACAATACAGACTTAAATCATTACATGTTCTAATTTTTAATGCACTGTATTTTTGTATGACTATTTGTTTCATTAAATGTATACATATATAATGGCTGTCATTTCTCATTTTCTACAGTCTGGCTTCAATGATACATGTATCAGTGAAACTATATCAAGCTTGCTTATTTGCCATAGTGACCCTTTTGGGTTTGATTATATAGTAGTCCTCCCTATATCCAAGGGGAATACTTTCCAAGACCTACCATGGATGCCTGAAACTGTGGATAGTAGCTTACTCTATATACAGCCTCTCCTCACTTAATAATGAAGTTCCGGTCCTTAGACCACGTCGGTAAAGGAATTCATCGCTAAGTGAGGCGCATACTGTAATGATAGTGGGTTTGTGTCATCCACCCTTATATTGTTTTAATATCACCTTTGCACCATTTATAACATTTCTGGTATGTTTTTAAATGTTTATACAGTAGTGTAATGTATATTGTAATAAAAAGAATAGAGGAAATCAGCTCTAATATGCATTATTTAGGTATGCATACTGGTCAGAGAGCCCATCGTAAGTTCGAGTCATCACTAAACAAGTTCATTGCTAAGTGAGGAGAGGATGTATAAGTAGGTAACCAGGTAACCTATGATAAAGTTTAATTGATAAATTATTTAAGTCTAGAATTAGCACTTTTTCATTGATGGGAAAAGAATTTTTTCTCCGTAAGCCATGCATGTCATTGGAGGCAACTAAAATGTCAGGAGGAAGGAGTTAATAACTCTTTTTTTTTTTTTTTTTTTTTTTTTTTTTTTTTTTTGTCACCCTGCCTTGGTGGGATATTGCCAGTTCTGTGAAAAAAAAAAAAGCTATCCTTTACCAACCACACAAGAGTGGCCACTTAGCACCTTAGGCTATGCACTTAGTTCCACAGCATGTCATCAAATTTAGATTTCTTTTGAGTATACAGGCTAGTACTTTTCATATACAGTGGACCCCCGCATAGCGAACGCCTTGCATAGCGAACAATCCGCATAGCGAACGCTTTGTTCGCTAAAATTTTGCCCCGCATAGTGGACAAAAACCCGCTCAGCGACCTTCGTCCGAGACGCGTCCAATGTGCGGCCTCAGCCAGCCTCACATGTGCCGCCCGTCCCATTGTTTACCAGCCAGCCTCCGCGGTAACATTCAAGCATACACTCGGAATATTTCGTATTATTACAGTGTTTTCGGTGCTGTTTCTGGAAAATAAGTGACCATGGGCCCCAAGAAAGCTTCTAGTGCCAACCCTGTGGTAAAAAGGGTGAGAATTAGTATGGAAATTAAGAAAGATTTTGAAGGGTTTGGGGCTAACCCTGAGAAGCCTATGCCAGTTGTGGAATCCATTGTGCCTACTTCAAAAATTAAGGAAATGTGTGCACAGTGGGTTGAACTGCAAACCTTTATGGATGAAAATCACCCTGACACAGCTGTTTGCAAGCCCTGCTGGTGACTATTTCAATGACAATGTTATGGCCCATTTTAGAAAGTCTTGAAGGAACGGAGGTACAGAGCTCTATGGACAGATTTGTTGTGCGACAGAGGTCCAGTGACTCTCAAGCTGGTCCTAGTGGCATTAAAAGAAGAAGGGAAGTAACCCCAGAAAAGGACTTGCTACCTCAAGTCCTAATGGAAGGGGATTCCCCTTCTAAACAGTAAGAAGATAATGCTCTCCCCTCCTCCCATCCCATCAATCATCACCAGATCTTCAATAAAAGTAAGTGTCATGTAATTGTGCATGCCTTTTTCAGTTTTGGTGTACTAAAATTAACATTTTTTGTGGTAAAAAAAAATTTTTTTCATACTTTTGGGTGTCTTGCACGGATTAATTTTATTTCCATTATTTCTTACGGGGAAAATTAATTCGCATAGCGAACATTTCGCATAACGACCAGCCCTCTTGCACGGATTAAGTTCGCTATGCGGGGGTCCACTGTACAGTGGTCCCTCATTTATCGTTGTTAATCCGTTCCTGGAAGTGCGACGATTATCGAAATAGAAGATTTTCGAATCAATTTTCCCCATAAGAAATAATGTAAATACAATTAATCCGTTCCTGACACCCAGAAGTATTAAAGCAAAAAATTTTTTTACATGAAATATAGATGTACTAGTACATAAACAATACAATGGGACATGATGAATGAAACATTAACAGCATAACACTTACCTTTATTGGCAATTCTTCTTAGTGTATGGAAGACTGGAGGAGGAGAGATATTGGATTAGTTACTGTTTGGAAGGGGAATCCCCTTCCATCAACACCTCAGGTACCAAGTGCTTCTCTGGGGTTACTTCTCTTCTCTGTTTCTTAATGCCACTAGGACCAGCTTGAGAGTCACTGGAGTCCTGTCTCAGAAAAAAAGTGTCCAGAGAGCTCTGTTTCTGGCATCTCTTTAAAACTTCCCTAAAATGGGCCAAGACTGTCACTTACAAGTTGCCAATATGGCTTGCAACATCCTTCTCAGGGTGATGTTTCTCCATAAATCTTTCCATCCTACCCCACATTTCACCATGTCTTATCACACTGTGTATGCCACTACACTTCTTAAATCTCTCAAACCAACCTTTGCTGGCCTTAAATTCACAATTATCAGTACAGTAAGGCCCCGCTTTACGGCGTTCCGCTAATACGGCGATGTCAAATTATGACCAAAATTTGCGCTATGGCAAGCGGTCTTTCAAATATGGCGCCCCCACCCAGTTTGTTTACAATTGCTGTGACCACATCTTTTATGTCAGGAAACTTTCCAAAATTTCAAGTGTTTTAAAGTTACTGCATATTTTATACATTCTCTGATAATTATACTTATGTGTACCTGTACCTAAATATACTTGAACACTGTGCTGGTGTGCAGGTACACATTAAAATCGCTAAGTCTCTCTCTACTCATGATGCCAATACGTACTACGTAATGATAACCATTCTTTGGCACACTAAATGTCTTATTTTACATCAATACAGTGGTGAACCCTCGACCAACGATGGCATCGATTAACGATAAATCCGACTAGCGATACATTTTAACGCAAAAATTTTGCCTCGACTAGCGTTAAAAAACCTGACCAACGCTATTCGGTCCGTTCGAGACGCGTCCACTTTGGCCTGAGCGCGCCTCACTTGTCCCATGGGTGCCAGTGTTTACAAGCCAGCCAGCCACCACGGTCGCTTCCAAACATACAATTGGAACATTTCATATTATCACAGCCTTTGTAGTGATTGCACCTGAAAAATAAGTCACCATGGGCCCCAAGAAAGCTTCTAGTGCCAACCCTACAGCAAAAAGGGTGAGAATTACTATGGAGATGAAGAAAGAGATCATTTCTAAGTATGAAAGTGGAGTGCGTGTCTCCGAGCTGGTCAGGTTGTATAGTAAACCCCAATCAACCATCGCTACTATTGTGGGCAAGAAAACGGCAATCAAGGAAGTTGTTCTTGCCAAAGGTGCAACTATGTTTTCGAAACTGAGATCGCAAGTGATAGATGATGTTGAGAGACTCTTATTGGTGTGGATAAACGAAAAACAGATAGCAGGAGATAGCAGCTCTCAAGCAATCATATGTGAAAAGGCTAGGAAGTTGCATGACGATTTAATTAAAAAAATGCCAGCCACTAGTGGTGATGTGAGTGAATTTAAGGCCAGCAAAGGTTGGTTTGAGAGATTTAAGAAGCGTAGTGGCATTCATAGTGTGATAAGGCATGGTGAGGCTGCCAGTTCGGACCACAAAGCAGCTGAAAAATATGTGCAGGAATTCAAGGAGTACTTAGACAGTGAAGGACTGAAACCTGAACAAGTGTTTAATTGTGACGAAACAGGCCTGTTTTGGAAGAAAATGCCAAGCAGGACGTACATTACTCAGGAGGAAAAGGCGCTCCCAGGACATAAGCCTATGAAAGACAGGCTTACTCTGTTGATGTGTGCCAATGCTAGTGGTGATTGCAAAGTGAAGCCTTTATTGGTGTATCACTCTGAAACTCCCAGAGTGTTCAGGAAAAACTATGTCCTCGAGGCTAATTTCTGTGTGCTGTGGAGGGCAAACAGTAAGGCATGGGTCACTAGGGACTTTTTCTATGACTGGTTACACCATGCATTTTCCCCCAATGTGAAAAATGACCTAATTGAAAAGAAATTAGACCTTAAGTGCCTCCTGGTATTAGACAATGCTCCTGGTCATCCTTCAGACTTGGCAGAGCGACTTTCTAGGGACATGAGCTTCATTAAGGTGAAGTTTTTGCCTCCTAATACCACTCCTCTCCTGCAGCCCATGGACCAGCAGGTCATTTCCAACTTCAAGAAACTGTACACAAAAGCTATGTTTGAAAGGTGCTTTGTAGTGACCTCAAAAACTCGACTGACTCTAAGAGAGTTTTGGAAAGATCACTTTACCATCCTCAGTTGTGTAAACCTTATAGGTAAGGCTTGGGAGGGAGTAACTAAGAGAACCTTGAACTCTGCTTGGAAAAAACTGTGGCCAGAATGTGTAGACAAAAGGGATTTTGAAGGGTTTGAGGCTAACCCTGAGAATCCTATGCCAGTTGAGGAATCCATTGTGGCATTGGGGAAGTCCTTGGGGTTGGAGGTTAGTGGGGAGGATGTGGAAGAGTTGGTGAAGGAGGACAATGAAGAACTAACCACTGATGAGCTGCTAGATCATCTTCATCAGCATGAGGCCACACCTGAGGAAACTGCTTCGGAGGAGGGGATAGAGAAATTGAAGAAGTTGCCTACTTAGAAGATTAAGGGAATCTGTGCAATGTGGCTTAAAGTGCAAACTTTTATGGATGAAAATCACCCTGACACAGCTACTGTAAGCCGTGTTGGCAACCTGTACACTGACAATGTTGTGAAACACTTTAGAAATGTCATAAGGAACGGGAGGTACAGGCCTCTATGGACAGATATGTTGTGCGACAGAAGTCCAGTGACTCTGAAGCTTCTCCTAGTGGCATTAAAAGAACAAGGGAAGTAACCCCAGAAAAAGACTTACTACCTCAAGTCCTAATGGAAGGGGATTCCCCCTCTAAACACTAAGATGATCAACACTTTCCCCTCCTCCCATCCCATCAAT